CCCCAAAACCCCAAAACCCCAAAACCCCAAAACCCCTTGCTAAGCCACTCAATTGGATCCCTTGAAGAATAGTTCAAACACAACCTAGGAGTAAATTCAATTTGAGTCAATTAAGCTTGATCTTCTTTGTTATCTTCCCTCTCTTTAATTGGGTTGTCCATTACGCTAGACTCCTTGTCTAAAAGAGAATGTGTGAGGTCCTTTTTGTCAATCGTGATCGATTGGGCTAAGTTCTTCCTGAACTTGAACTTCTTGTGATCTTCAAAACTCTCTTTTAGATGACTGTGGACAAAGTCATGTATTTTGCTTCTATTTTCAATAAATAATTGAGACAAGTTGTTGGAATTTTGATGCCAGTTTCTGTTGTTGACCATGATATTTGGGTTTTTGTTTTGCATCAGGTCTTTATCATAGTCAGCTTCATCCAGGATATCTTCTTTGATGATATATTCAATTAGGTCTTCAAGAGTAAGTAGTCCAAGAACTTTGGCGGGTTTAATATCACTTTTCATTGTATCATCCCTGCTGCCTTCACCTAAAGATCTTTCGTTCGCATTTTCCTCAAGCCCTTGAGCATACTTATCCATTTTTATTGGATCGTCAGTGATGATGGCCATATGAGACCTTCCTTTTGTGAAATGGTTGAGAAGACCTTCAAACTTTTCTTTGGGTGAGATGAATAATGGTTTCCTAAGTACCACTTCTCCTTCTTTGACAAGATCGCTAATCTTTCTATCCTCGGTAAGGTCAAGTCCAATCAATTGTTTGATGAGAAGAATACCAACGATTCTATTTTTATCATCTCCATCGTACACAGGGATTCTACTATATCCAGCATCTGTGAGCTTCTTAGCCAATTTGTTGTTAATATTTTTGTTAATGTTGACTTTGAAAATTTTATTATCTGGAACCATCAACTTGTCTACAAATCCATCCTTGGTGTCTAAGACTGATTTGATCATCTTTGTCTGGTATGGTTTGAGTCCACGATTTTCTGCTTTCCAGTTTTGTTCATGATCCATAGCTTCAAGTGCATGATATGAGTGAAGTTCAATTAATGCTTTCAAGTCGTTGTTGGAATATCTTGTTGCCATGTGCTCACCAAGAATGCAATCCAGAATCTTAGCGATAGGATAAGAGATAATTCCAAGAGCTATTTTTAATATTTGAATAAGTGGTGCTAAGAATGCTCCGATTTTAATTTGCTGAGGCCCAGTACAGATGGCTTGAGGGATTACTTCTCCGAAGAAAAGGACAGCAATGACTGAGATTAAAATAGCATAAGCTGAAGGAACGATACTATCCAGATAAATTGGCAAAGCTTCCATACACAATGCGTTTGCCAAAAGAAGTGTAACAAGCAGATAGTGATGATCTTCAAGCACGGGTAATACTGCTAGAGCATTCTTTTTCTCTTCTTCTGTTCCATTCTGTAATTTCATTTCGAGTTCAAGCTGATCGATTGATAAATATCCAACTGTGAGGCCACTCATGACACCAGCTCCAAGAGTCAGAAGAACTGCAACTATGAGGCAGTAGTAAAACATGTAACTTCCTGGAGGGAATCTTCCTCCACTAGAACTCTCTTCCTCCTCAATTGGGGCTGGCTCTGCCAAGCTTGTGGCTTCTTCATATTTTAGAGTATTCTGGATTGGCTCCATTCTGGAGACGTCCATGAAGACTTTTCCATTATGATAAATTATTTCTAAGTCTTTATCATACTCTACTGAGATCTTTACAATGTTTTCATAAGATCCAGTCATGCCCTGGCTGCTCGCAAGCGCAAGAGAACTTAAAAGAAATATGAAGGTTAAGGAACAGTATGAACTCCACATTGATTTACAATTATAGTTTATTATTTGGGGTTTTGGGGTTTTGGGGTTTTGGGGTTTTGGGG